TGTCCACGTCAGTTGAATATGCGGGTCCACACAGTAAATGTCTCTTCCACCCAGACATTGAGGAATTTTGCCAAGTTGCCCTGAATGTCCCCATCAAGCTTTGTTGCAGGCAGAGCTTATAGAAAAATATATTCATAACTAAATGTGAACTGCAGGTCATTACGCCGTGGCTGACACCTCACTTCAACTCATTCCTTACATCACAGTCTAATCCTACAGTGTCAGCACCCAGCTTCCTCATCGCCAAACAGAACTCTTGGTGCGTTTCCGTCTCCCAAAGTTCCTTGGCATTAAATGACATGATGTTACTGACCTTAACACACGTATTCTGAATTCTTGTCCAAACTGGCATTTTCTCCAAAGACCAGCATTTTTGTGTCATTACATGGGCGTCACAGCTTCCATTGCGGAACACAGGAATCTTGGCTTTGTAAGATGTGCTTACAAAACAGGAAGTACAACATCTCAAAGAAGCAAACTCAACTCCATCTACAAAGTAATTTTTTAAAGCCTTCCTGTATTAGGGAGTCCAGTAAGTAATTTTTAAGGAGGCCAACAAGGACGAAGACTCAACTGTAGTTTCTTTTGGAAAAGCCTATTGTACACATACACCTCCTACCCCCAGTTCCAATTCATCTCTATTGCTTTTGGGGGATAACGGCAAGGAAGGAGCCATCTAAAGGTCTTTTCCACTGGAGATCAAAAAACTAATATTTTCATACAGAAACTAGAAATTTAGACCGAACTGCCACATCAGAGCAGGACATAGGCATATCCTGTATGTATCCTACACTGGCTTCCTCATGACAAGGCTTATTCCTTCAATAGAGATGATGGAATGTTATTATTTTAGGGATAATCTCTGAACTGCCTTAGTGGTCAGCTCCTGTTAGGGCTACTTTCCAGTAGAGCGGACACAAGAAATTGCAAGACAGTCTGCAGTGAAGTGTATGCCACAGGAAGTCTTTGGAACAGAGCAGCAAGTGTCATAGGGCAGATACATATGGCTGAACCTGCCCAGGAATGGGGAGATGGACTTCTGAGGCCCCTTCTAAGGCCTATGTGCAAGAGATAAACCATCCCAACAACATGCACTCTGCCAAAGCCATAATCAGGGCCACTTCTAGGAGCTTGGGGTCATTTGGTTTTGAACGGAATGGGTGCTCCAGCCACCTGTATTCCCAGAGGCCCATTTCTTTCACTACTAGTGGGTGAGTTGTGGAACTGAAGACCACTGAGCCACCTACATATGTTTACAGTCAGTCCTCCTTTCAAGACACTCCACTGGCAAACGCCAGGATATATGTAGAGAGTTACAGAAATAACCACATGCAGCAAGGCAATCATAAAAATGAAGGCAGTGACAGCCAGCGTTTATTCTTATGTCTCAGGAAAATAAAGCAATCCCCACCCCTTTATCTTCTTGCTAGTAAATTGAGCATCACAACCACAGCCATAAATCATTTATCTGAAAATGCCCCCAGTGCCTGAGAATGCTGTTGGACTCTTCACATGCTGTGTGCTGGCACTGGGACACATAAATATGTCTTGCAAATCCTGCCCTGTCAAAAAGCTTCCTGGCAGCAGTGGATATGCCAATCTGCTACTGACTAGGACACAGCAAACATTTTCTTCTGCACAGGAAAGAACAAACAACTTCTAATTGCAACTCTGTAGCTTGTATTGGCCGACAAGGACAAACAAGCAGTGAGTTACGACAAAAGTATAATGTAACTCTGCGCCGCCACAAACAGAGCCTATGTAGCTCTGAGTATGTGTGTACCTCACAGAAAATTCTCACCAGTGGAAGTAGCCTGAAGCACTGACTTCAGGAGTATTAACTGAAGCCAGTCTATTAGCTGTCACTTTGGAGTTCAGGGCATGAAACAGAAGGGAAGCCATCTTTTGTCCAAGGAACAGTACAGAAGTTCCAATGAATTCTTCTGTAGACAGTTTTCATTTTCCTTTGTGCACAACTGGGACAGGAGCAAAACGCATCTGCAAGTTATGTGCTGTAGGCAATAAAGAAGTGTCAGTGGAAACCCTCAAACATTAGTATTTTTCCTCTCAAATAGTTTTGCAAGCTGAAGAGTTTTGGGGAATGCATGATCTGTAGTGCCCCTGTCTTCTCACCTCTGCTTTCCACAATGCAGCATACCCCAGCTTGCACAGCACACAGCAATGTTATCCTCAGGGCAGGTTGTATAGGTTGCCCTGTCCAGTATTTGTGTTGGGTTTGCCCCATTTTCCTTTAAAGACGGTTTTTAGAAAAATGTCATTTCTTCACCATTAACTCTTGCTGGTTTCTTCTCAACAATTAACAGTCCAACGGTAAATCAATTTGACTTTTTTTTTCCGTGGAAATGATTTGCGCTGTATGCCAAAATTCATTTTGCATAAAGCAGTTGCAGTCATACAACTATTTGTATCCCCCTTGCGCTTGTGTTGCTAATAAAGGTTTATATTTGGCATGGACAGACAGCATTGAGTTGTTCTCTGTTAGGAGTGTAGATAATCCTGTTTTCCTGTCAGGCCTCAAGAAGGAATTGCAGTGTAACAGCACAATAGCCTGTAAGACCCACCTACTAGGTTAGCTCAGCCTGGCCCAATTCACAGGCAAATAAAATGCTCCAGGCAATTGCTGCAGAAACCTACCTCTGGGGTTCCAGAAGCTGATTGATTACTTCTGTGAAGACCAGTCGCACCAAAGGCAAACAAAGTTGAGTGGGGCCAAAGCAGGCACAAGCTGTGGTAGGACACCATCTGGTTTTGTCAAAGCACAAGAGCAGAAGAGCCCATCATCTGTGCAGGTAGCAACAGGCCTAGGTGGAAGGCATCCCAGAATACAGTGAAATGAAATTCTTCTTCTCACCTGTAGGGATATCTTGCTTCTCCTCAACTCAGCTGGGCCTCAAGGGGAGGAGATGAGAGTAGTAACTGCCACTACTTCACCTCAAGCGGGAGAAGGGAGAATCTGGTGACTGGAAAGAGCAACCTGAGGGTTTGGGAAACAGAAACCTGGAAGTAGCAAGAAACCAATATACTGTGATATAGTTAACAGCCCAAATAAGATTCATCCTCATTAGGAAAGGACTAAGAGACTGATGAGAGCCCGAAGGGTCACAATGACTTGTTTGCCAGTAGCAATGATGATTGCCCACTGGGATGGGTGGCTGTACATCTCAGCATCATGATTTGACAATTTCTTGAGGTTAAAGTCCAGATCTGACAAGCTTCAAGACAACTTTTTGCTTTAGCCCAACAGTAGATGGTCCCGATGTTACCAGCTCTCCATAGTTAACAAACTCAAGCCACGCTGCTCTGAACACTGCTGTTACTGAAGCACTGCTATGACTTGAGAGCTGTTGCCTGACGACTCCAGTTGTCCACATGCAATGAGTATGACATGGACACATTTAAAAATGCCTCTCAGTGAGGTTATTAAAATGGAGTATGGATAGCATGGTCCAAGAAGCAAGAGTGCTAGCTGATGCAGAGCAGGTCATTCCATTTCACTGCTTCATGCTTCAGCTTTCACAGCTATCAAACACGAGAGGACAAAAGCTGTCCTCCGTAAAGCTTTTGTAAATCTATGGATGCAATTGCAAAGAAAACCTAGGGCTTGTTACGTAAGGATCCTGCTCTTCTACCACATAGGACTACTGCAGTAATAGTCCTTCTGACCAAAGGCCAAGACACTCCTTTCCTCTACACAAAGTTCTTTCTCCCAGTTAGGGTTGCCCTTGGATGTTTTGCAGAGTACATCAAAGCAGGTTTTCATCAGCCTGCAGGATCTTTAAATGTTAACATTTCCTAACGAGAGACCACTGGATTATATTTGGTCTGACTTGGATGCAACCCTCTCGGGCTGCCATAACGGTGAAGGGACAGCTCCATCCATTACACATGTCCAGTAAAACATCACACAAGTGAAAGATGACAATAGATGCAAAACAGCCAGCTGTTCCTATCCTAATAAGCTGAGTTAGGCAAGGGGCAAGCTGAGAGAGGTAAAAGCAGAACACCAGCAGCACGTGGAAAGGTTCCTGCCTGGGCCTTTGCATGTGAGCAGCCTGGGTGGCCAATGGCCTTTTCCAGACTCTGCATGCCAGAAAGTGGAACATCACAGCCAGTCTGCCTCTTTCAGCTGTGCAGGACTCAAAATAGCATGGCACTCTCCACGACAAGAGAGAAATGCCGCATTTCCACTGCTTCTTATGGAATGGCCAAGCTCTCACAGCACCACAGCTCCATGGTTAAGATACATTCCTTATTGCTCAGTTCACAGGTGCTTTGCTAAGTCACAACCATCTCTGGGATCACCTTGCCCAAGAAGAGGGACACGTAATGCCTCTCAAATACAGCTGGTGTCCACTGGAGCTGCTCCCTCTCAACACCTTGTTAGCTTAAGTTATGGTTATTACATGGCATGTCTCCAGCTCCTCAGAACAGGAGGTGGTTTGGGAGAAACTGCTTGGTAGAAGACCATCAGCAGAGCACAGGCAAACAATGCCTGGGCCTACTTTAAAAACACACCTTAATAGGAAAGAAGGCCCTTGCAGGCTCCCTAACTCAAATGTCTCCATCTGCAGCTCCTGTACTATGATCCTGCTAAGAACTCAGAAATAATCACTAGAGTTGTTGTAAGAATAGGCCAGAACAGTGACTGAGCTCAGCTATTCTCGCGATCTGTGCCCTCAGTGCTCCCTCATGGTCACCCACAAAGCCCTTTAGCTAGTGGAGAACATGGCAACTGAAAATGAAAGGCCAATGAGCAAGACCCTGGACCCTTGCTGTTCTGGTAGCTTCCTCAGTTAAAAACAAATCAACCTACCACCTTCACTCAAGCCTGCAGTCAAGCACATCCACCTCCACAGAACCCAAACTATACACCCTTTGTTATCTGGAAGCTTTGACAGAGACAGAAGAACAGTCTCATCCTATTGCAGTTGGAGAAGAGTTTGTGATGGTATCAAAGATGTTAGCCTCCACGCAACTTCTTATAAGGGATCCTGGTTGGCACTGCAGTGGGCAGAGGAGTCTGTTCCAGAAGGGTCCTGACACTGCGAAAGGCTGCTCTGCTGCTGTTTATCAGGAAAATACAGTGTTTTGTAAATCAGATCTTTGACAGCAGAAGTGTCATCTCTGTCTATGGAAAAGGAAAAAATATAGTAGTTAGGGACTCTCAAAAGGCTGTAAGAAAGCACCTCTTCCTCAAGAAGTACCTGGAATTCTAGTTCCCAGCACACCACCTGCCAGCAACCCTTCCTCTCTTTTTCACTGTACATCCTTCACCCTTTCTGCACTCACCCACACCCAGCTCCCGCAGGAGATCCCCAAACTCTGGGTTACAATCCAGGATTTTCAACAGGTTGGTGGACTCCATTCTCTCCAACTGCACATCCCAATAGATGTAGATCTTCTGATTGAAGCTGACATAAACCAGACAAGGGCTGTTGCTTCCTCCTTTGCACGCATAGAGGCCTGGAAAAAGCAGAAGTGTGGAGATCCAACTACTTCCAAAAGGACAGAGGAAAAAAATAGGTAACTTCTTATGATGAGCAGAAAGCAGCGAGGACCTCAGGTGAGGGGCACAGACATGAACTTGGGTATATGAAACCCCTTTGAGACAATCCAAGAAAGTGCCTCTCAACAGTTACTAATGCATGTAGCTTGGGGATTTGCAAGCTGCTTCTTGCAGGTCTGAGAGAGGGGACTAAGCAAAGCCAAGGCTCAGGACAGTTCTGTGGGGCTGTTTATATCCATCTGAGAACAGTTTAGAAGTCTGCAAATTAAAAAAAAAAAGCAGTGTGGAAGACAAGAGACCACTGTAGCACTCCCAAAAAGGACAGGAAAAAACCCCAAACCATCACAGACAAACCTCAGCATCACCTCCTCTCATTCTACTTTTCCCAGATGCCACCAGAGGAAAGACTAACTGGGTCTTCTGCATTATATGCACAGGGAAATTATTCCCCACTGCAGACAGACAGAGGATTCCAGATCTCCAGAGAGGAATAGTAGCTTTGAGTGAGAAATGCTCTGAGAGCTGGCTTTGCAGTCAGGCTCCCTACCTGCACAGAATGCACTGACATTCTCATCTGCCTGAAATCTGGCAACAGTTCGATTGTGGTCGATGATGTACGTCTGACCATCCCATGCACAGGCAATCACCTCCTCGTGCCCGTTGCCCTGCAGGAACCATAAAGCAGTGTATTAGTATGGACATCAACTATTCCCAGAGGTGGTCAAGAATCTTCCCTGCTTTTTCAGAGACAGAACACTAATATCTGAACAAGATGTCACTTTTGGATGTCTTGTCCAGACATTCCTTTTGCACTTGGAGACCAGCTCTCTCTTATCTATGGTAATCCTTAAGTATCCTAAGAACTTGTAGGCAACCAGGGTATTAGCACTTCATAGACACTCACAGTAACATCCAGCTTTTCCAGAGCAAACAGCTGGTGATCAACCTGCACAGACCAGAGCAGTTTATCCGCTCCCTCCATGAGTTTCAATGTCCCTAAAGGGAAAAAAAAATAAAAATAGAGATTGTCTTGGAAATATTAGAAGAGAGCAATATGTTTGCTGACACTGGGCCCTGCACACTCCTTCAGCAGTTAGGGTCTGCAGACAGATGGTTAGGTCCATGATACAGGCTGTGGTTGATAACTGATAACACAGTCTCAGTTTTGGGAAGGATAGCAGTCCATTATCTTGTCATCATTAACTGGAAACAGAGAGGGAAAATGACAGCGGCCCTGCTAATTGGATTATGCTCCAAGACAAGAAGAAAGCTGGCCAAAACAGGCTCCCAAAATACAGCGCATTATTGGATCTCACATGAGACAGTGAGTAAACTAGAAGCTTCTCACCTTGTCACACAGATCGTGTGATTTCAGGACAGCATATTGACAGGTGTCTGCTGAGAGCTGGCTGGTTAACAGCACAGGCATGGCCTCTTGGCTGCTAAAAACATGCTGGACGCTTACCTCGTTCTCCGTTATCAATTCTCTGTAATCCAGAGATACTATAATAGTACTGGGGGGTGGGGAAGGGGTGGCCATGAGAGAGCAGAACGTAAACGTGCATCTATCCTTGGCCCTTCAGCCATGGCAAAGCTCAGCCTTGCCAAATGCAGAAGCTTCAGAGTTCAGGCCCAAAGAATAATTAGAAATTCCCTAGCAGGACATCACTGGGAAGGTAGACATCTGGCCCAAACAAACCAGACTGCCTATGAGGGACTGTTGGGTTTTGGATGTAAACCCTGAATTCAGCTCATTAGATTCAGTTCTATTGCAGCCTGTCACTTCTCAGGCAGGGGCACAGCAAGAAGAACCTGGCTCCAGTCCTGTGGGAGGCCAGTTCCTGTCTACCAGTACTCAAGTTTCACCATCCACTCCCTTTACTGCTTTTGGAAAAAAAAAAAAAAGAATCAAGCCTCTTCAAGTAAAAGGACACATTTTTGCTGTGGTTGTGAGGCTCCTGTCTACATGCATGTCACTTGAATTGGCATCTCAAACAGTTGTTTGACCATTGGGTAAGCAGGCAATTTAGGAGGCAGTAAATTAAAGTTCTAGTCTCACTCTCCATCTCAAGCTTTCAGTGTGCCTTTGGGTCAGTGACCTCGCCTCTTCATTTCCCCGGCACCTCGCTGCAACCCGGCTTTAATATTTCTACTCCCATAGGTCATGGGACCATACAACTAACTCATGTTTGTAAAATGTTTTGAAATCCACAAATGAGTAAGACTGAACCAGGGGAGAGATAAAGGCAGATATTAGTAACAGAAAACACAACGATGCCTGCAGAGAGCAAGCCTGTGCAACATCAGACCCAATTCAGTAAGGAACAGAAAAGCAGACTTAGCTTTAGTATGTTTCATCATATCCTCAGATACATTTTATCACACGTCTGGTTTATGGGGGACTTGCAGTGACAACTCTTAACCTTTGCTCCTGTCTTAGCTTTCATGCCTTTACATAAAATATGTCACCAGAAGGAGTCTTTCAGTCAAATTCCCTTACCTGACCCAGGAAACATTTCTGAAGCCTAGCTCCCCCTTCTTTCAAAACAAAAAGCACTAAACCCCTGGTTCTCTGCTTTGAATTAGTGACAGCCTTGGTTGCCCCAAAGGCCTTTCTTAGAGGGCTGTGGTAGGACTTACCATCCAGAGTACAGAGGGCAAAAAGACCTGAGCCAACATTCTCACTGGAGCAGCCTGTAAGTGCAGAAGAGAATTACAGGAGTTAATGTTATCCAGAGTGTTGGCCCCTCCCTCTCCTGGAAACAAAAATCCAAACAAAGCTGATCCATCCTGCCTGCTTTTTTGCCCAGCCTTGACACTTTGTTTAGCAGGCATCTGCAGATTCTTGCAACCAAAGTGATGGCTTTTATTTGTAGGGCAGTAGCATTCAAAACCCAAGACACAGCACCAATACAGGCATGTCTGGCTCTGCTGGATGCTTCTTGGAGTCTGTATGTATCACATATGCAATTGTAGGCCCATGGCAGTTCTGATTTTAGTGGACTGCATCACATCCTCTCCAGGCTTCAGGAATGCACAAGCACAGGCAGGACCATTACAAGGCACAAAGCAAAGAAGAGCTGAAGCCAAACAAAGGTATTACAACTGCACCCTTACTGTTTCTTTCAAGGATAGGAACATGGCCTTTGGCTGTCTGGGAAGGTGCAGAGTTAGAAGAAGAAGAGGTCTGGTCAGAAGGACAAAGGTCAGTCACATTAGCACAAAAGTGCCCCCATGGCAACTCCCAAATGACTCTACGGAGATTGTGCTACCAATTCTATTGTTTTTGCTACAGCAGAACTGCACAAAAGCTGTGATCCTCTCCTAGCCAACACCAGTCAGATATTAGAGAGCCCTTCCTTGCTTTATGAACACTTTAAACACGTGCCTTCATGCCCTTCTACACACTCAGACCTGGCTTTCCTGAGCTATGCTTATATAGCTGTGAACTTCCTGCAAGCAGTATCCTCTTCAAGCCTGTACATCACAGTTGTGTGCAGGACAGAATTAACAAATATGACTAGTTAAATCTGAAGAGGATACTCCCCTGACCACCAGGCTGCTTCAGTACACTCTCTACCTAGCTAACAGCCAGAAAAGATATGCAAAGTCAGGTTTCAAAAGTGATACCACACTTGGTGGGGGAGGACTAAAGCTGCATTTAATCTTCTCAGTGATGATGCAGGAGAGACACTGTCTCCTTGACCTCTGCAGGGATCAAGGAAGGCCAGCAGTCAGGGACAAGCCAGCAGAGTTGAAAGGAAATGGACAGTTTGCCCAGAATGATGTAATACTGCAAGCCTACCTCCACTGCCCATAGTCAGCTCCAAGCTGTAACACCTTGCACACTCCCAGGGCACTGACTACCCTATTTCTGCAGATCAGCTTAAAGAAAACAGTCAGCTGGTTGAGTGCTCTATTTCCTCTAGCTGACATTCACCAGACAGGATCTCAGCCTTATACAAACTGGTCAGCAGGGTACTCTTCAGCTGTTTCATTACTGATGGTCCAGCATCATCAGTGGGCTTTTCACAAGTGGGCTTTTCTTCATCCCTTATTCTCTGTTCCTTTATTTTTCACAGACACCTCTCATTAGATGCAAGGCTCTGTACGCAGTGAAATAATCGATTTCGTGCTCTGTTGACCATGTTACCCACAGCAGCATCCAAGATGCTGGAAACACAAGCTTAGGAACTGGGGAGGAAGGGTACTCTGGGGAAGGGGATCAGTGGATTGCTCTTCTCCTCCAGCTCTAATTACACTGGACAGCCTAAATCATTCTCAGACAGCACTGCAGGCAGTAATACTTGGACAGAGCAAATGCAGCTGGATTCCAGCCAGCTGCAGGTGATCTACATTGGGAATTTTTTGCCTTCTTGTATTATGCCCACAGGCTCCAAAGGGGAGTGAAAGCTGCTTATTCTCCATAGGTACGAATATAGAGTTCAGTAGGTACGCCAGGCACAAGCCAGAGCACAAAGCAGTTACGCAAGGGAAGCAGCAGCAGTTGGTTAAGAATATTCTGGACACAACAGCAATGTGTCAGCAGCTGTGGAGAGTTTAGACACAACAGCTGAACAGAATACATTGGAAGGAGACAGAGGACAGTGATATAAATGAAGTATGGAAACAGGTCTGGAGGGGTGGGACTGCATAGGTGAAGGAACAGCAGGATATAGCTCCCAGGTATTGGGAGTCAACACTGAAAAGTACAAAAGCAGGAAAAAAGATGAGGCTGTGGAAAGGAAGAGGTGCATCTGAGGAATTAAAAAAGCAGCTTAAACTGCAGCCATGCAAAAGCAAAGAAAAAGGACATTTATAGGAACAAGGCTTGGCAGCTATTCAGGATGACTAAATGCAGGTCAGTGGAGGCTGCAGGGAAACTGTGTTAGGCAAAGAGTAAGAGCTACCTAGTGAAGGAGAAAGGTTATAAAAAGTTTAAAAGCAAATATCCAGCTATGTCTTTCCTTGGGAGCTGGCTAAGAGTTCCCTCTGTTCTTGCAGCTGCCTTCCACTGTTGTCAGCCTCAGGAACTCTGATTTTATGCTGGATTGAGGTACTAAAAAACTACAGGGACAGCTGTTAGGCCAGAGGCCTCAAGCTTCTAATCTCTCACCTCGGCCAATGCTACCAATTAGATGAGTGGAAACGTTCTTGTTGTGAATCCGTCCAGATGTCTGATGTAGAATAACATCTCGAACAGGGGTCTCACTAGAGAAAAAGAAACAGGTGTCAGGGAAAGGTTAGGGAACCATGCCCAGAACTGTGCCAGAACAATCTCAAGAGCGGTGTATTCCAAAGCTCTACGAATCCAGAAATTGATCGAATTTGCACATAGGTTAGTCCTTTGAAGGTAAAGACCAAGGAAAAGAATACATGCTACTCCAGGTATGAAAGGAACTCAGTGATGTTTAAAAAATGAAATGAGAATTATTTGATGCATCAGAAAACTGGAAAGAGATTTAAAAAAAAAAGTCAGTAAAACATGTATTCTTTTCAAGGTAAAAATAAAAAGATTATTTTTATCATTACTATCACATAAGTCTGACTGCTTTTCCTTTAGGAAGTGTCTCCCCAGGACTGACCAAGTCAGTCAGAAATCATGTCCGGGCCTAGCTTCTGGCTCAAATATCATTCCACTAAGGTCTCTAAGACATCAAGGACATTTGGCTAGCTCCCCTTCTGCTCCAGTTTTCTGTGTCTCTCAAAGTCTCATAGAACATCGCAGAAGCACCTGAATTCCCCACATAGGTCCCTCCATTGCCAAGAAGAACACCCTCACTGCTTATCCCAGTTGCTCTGGTTGTGATTTACAGCACTGTTGGCCAGCATCTCATTAGGAAAAGCTCCAACTACCTCACCTGGATGAAACTAGTGAATGAACCCAAAGTGTTATCCTCAGCTTCAGACTAAATGTGCCTTTCAGTTGCTACCCTTCCCACCATTAGACAAGTCACCAGACTGCCTACGATGCTTTCTGTGGAGATCTAGGTGAGTTATTTCCCTGCCTTAGCCCTCAGTACTGCCTCCCTCAGTGAGCTGGTTTTGCTACTCTCCTTGCGCAACCCAAGGAGAAGAGAGAGGGATACAGGAAAAGCAGCAGTATTTGTCTTCATGATAGAGACATGAAGAGTATTCAGGGAAGCCTAGGTGAAGGTGGGCTTAAGTCATCAACTCCCAGCAGCACAGTAGGTCACTGAAGCAAGGACAAATGACAGCACTCCCACGGAGAAAGACGGTATGGTGGTGCCCCCTTGTGATGTGCATCTGCAGCAGAATCTCCTCGTCTACGCCATATAATGCTCTTCACCTGCTTGGGGCAGAGCAGTCTCTTCCCTCTGTCGTGGTCTGCTGCTCAGAGTCCCAGGTGCACAGCAGAATGGCATAACCGCAGCCTGGCTGAGACACCATCAACTCCGGTGAGCCATCAGGGCCTGGGTTTACAGAGAGGCTGTCCACCTACAGTGGCAGAGGAAAAACATGGATAGAGTTGAAATGAGAAATTTAAACACCCCAGAAGGGTTCACTGTGCTTCTCGTACCTAAACTTGAATATGGCAGACCTTCTTATAGAGCTGAGCAAGAGCTGAACAAATTCAGCTAGAAGCAAAATGTCCAAGTTCCAGTAAAAGGTTATGTTTGCCTACTAAGAACCACTTAACAACACTAGTATTTTCCACTATTGCTCTCTAGTTGGGTGAGAGAAACTGGCTGTTTCCCAGACTAACTCATCAGCTAATCTGCAGGTATGGGACAACCACTGGGCAAATCTCCTTTCAAACCATCAACACAACTGCTTTGTTCACAGGGCTGAGATTCTCCCTTGGGAGAGACACCTCTTGCAGACAAGTTCTGTTCTGAACGTTCTGTTTCCTTACCTGACCTTCTAGCAGCCATTTCTTCAACAGGAGCAGCTGGCCAGAGACATGGTCTGAATTCTCTGACAAGTCTTCCCAGCGGAAGGCACGTACCACCCGGTCAGTGTAACCCACCACCAATTCACACTTCCCATCTCCATCTGCAGGGAATACAAGGAGATGGGCTCTCTCAGGCTTTCATAGCCCCAAAAGCCCCAACATTCAGAAACCACTGTGCTGTTTTCTGTCAGGTAGCAGCCCTGAGGATCCAAATACTCTAATAAGAACTTGCACTTCAAGGAAATTCCTCAGGTTTTTGCCTGTCTCCTTCATGACTTGGCTTGATAGAGCACCCGTTTCAGCAAGATAGTAATCTCCTTCTGCAAGTCCCACACACTTTCCACCTCTCTCTCCCACCTCGTACCCACAAACTCATCACCATGCACTCCCACACCAGCTTCCGAGCTCACCGATGTCATTGATCAGCATGACCTTGGTGTTGGCAGGAATGTGCTGCTTGAACACTGGCTTCTGCTCTTCTCCTCCTGCCAACTCATGGTGGCCTGAAGCATCTGGGTGTTTCGGAGAAGTTAGGTCAAAAAGATGAAACCAGCCTTCTGCACTCACCGCCACCACGAGATTCTAAGAGGGAAGAGAAAAATGTTTGATTTTTCCTCATCTGAAAACTGCAGAAGCTGTCCCACAGCAGGGCAAGGAAAGGTATCAGGGTAGATTACTGAGATCAATGACTGCTATAGAGGGCACAGAAGAAGGTCTTGGGCCAGTATACAAACTACTCATGTACTTTAAGGTGCAAGCTTCTTGCTCATCCTTGTCAGACTAGGATATCAACCTGATATCCTTGTCCCCAAACCATGTGTGGCTTGTGATCCCCAAACCATGAGTGCCTTTCTCAATGTTAACTTCAGCTCTGCTACCCCCTGGAGCACACACAGCTACAGTATTTTAGGCAGGGTGCCTAAACCGAGACTTTTGGACTTGGTGGCCTGGCTTAACCACCAGAAATAGCAATCCAGTAACAGGAGTCATATTAGACCCAGTGGAATTTGCTTAGGAGTCTAGACTATTCTGTGGCTCAGTCTTGTTTAGATGACCTTAAATGCACACAGCCAAGTGGCAGAAGGGCCATGGCCCGCAGCAGGGACAATCACAGAGCAGGGCAAAAGCCACTGATGAAAAGGAGAAACCTCCAAACCACCAAAGCCTTTTGGCACTCATGCAGGGGTACATGGAAATTGATAGTGCTTTCTGAAGATAGGATGGATTTCCGTGCTCACTAAGACCTGCATATGGCTCACAGAAAGATACAGGTTATATGTAAACAGAAGAACAGTTTCAAAACAGTGGTGCTAAAACTCTGTAAGCGAGGGCAGATCCTGGAGAGAAAGCACCTGCAACCAGCCCTCCTTCATGCTCAGTATATGACATGACCTTAATCTCTTAAGCACCTTCCACATGGCCTGCAGACACAGCTGGGAAGAGTTTGGCTGTTCTCACCTTTCCTTTATTACATACATCTCCCACGCCAACACATGTGAGCTGCAAGAAAGAAGGCCATACATGAGAAAAGGCAACGTAAACCAGCACTTTGGGATAAGCCTCTGCCTTAGCCCCTTCCTCTCCCATAATCTGTCTCCTGCATTTCAAACAGCCTTTTCAAGGACAAAATGAGCAGAGTCAGAAACATATCTGAGACAGAAACATATCTGTCACACACTGCCCAGAGCCCTGGGGCAAAATCCACAGTGCACAAGAGCCACAAGGTGGGACAGAAGCCCAGTTCCTGTGTTTACTCAGTACTTTGCTCATCACTTTCAGCCCATAGGGTTAGCTATGGGTAAAAGCAGGGTCTTGCATAACCACATGAAAGGCATCAGAACCAGTTGTCGCTGCCATTCCCCTCTGGCCTACATATTCCTAGGCAGTGGTCAAGGATATGTCGTTGCACATACATGAAAAGGCCCAATCATTAAATTTTTTTTCAAGAACTGACCATTCCTTGGCAGGTTCGCACAGCCCAGGGTTTGCTGTCATCATTTTTGTAAACGTAGAGTTTCCCATTGGTATCTCCCACCACTAGCTCATTCAGCTGTACAAAAGAATTGGGTTAGTAGTAAGAAATTCACAATTACAGTAACAATATTCTCAAAATCACCCTGTGGGAAGAAGCAGCAAAGCAAAACAAGAGTTAAAGAGCCAGCCTCAAATCAGCACAGAAGGTATGGGAAAAAATAAAAGCCCTGATTTTAATCCCACGGGTAAAAGAGCTGGAGAGTGGCTCCTCAGAGAAACATCCTGTTATCCACTGCTTCTCTAGCCATTCTTTCAGAGTTGTGTCACAAAGTGTTTTAACATCCTGCTCAGCTAATCATCATCCATCCTTCAATCTAGATTGACTTGATCATTCCTGAATCACCCGAGGAAGATGATAGCAATGATGAAAATATAATCATTCAGAAAGGGGCTGCGAGAACACATAACAGGTTTATACCGGCTGTTCAATCTAACTGGTGAGGGGGTAAAGGTCTTTCAGAAGGGTGATTATTTACTTAAAGAAGACTGTTAAGAACAACCAACCACCCCTGCTGATGAGCCTGCTCCTACTACTCCATCCTCTGCATCATGCCTCCGCGTATTTAAATTGTGTGCCCAGAATCATAGAATCACAGAATGTCAGGGGTTGGAAGGGACCTCTAGAGATCATCTAGTCCAACTCCCCTGCCAGAGCAGGATCCCCTGGGGCAGCCACATAGGAACGTGTCCAGATGGGTTTTGAAAGTCTCCAGGGAAGGAGACTCCACAATCCCTCTGGGCAGCCTGTGCCAGGGCTCTGTCACCCTCACAGTAAAGAAGTTTCTCATGTTGAGGTGGAACTTTCTACGTTCTAACTTAAACCCATTATTCCTTATTCTATTGCTGGGCACCACTGAGAAGAGATTGTCCCCTTCCCCTTGAATCACCGAAACACTCCGTTTGCCAGGGATCTCGCGAGGCCACCTGATCCAACCCCCGGCGTCAACGACCTTGCTCAAGCGCCCGTCGGGCTCCCAGTGCCCCCAGGGCTGGAAGCGCCACCGCTTCCTCCGGTGCCGCACCACCCCCTCGGTGCTTCCCCCG